GGGGGGGGGGGCCCCAGCCGCTACCACCACTCGCTCGTTGGCATTGGCATTGGCATGAATAGCCAGCCTCGCTCGCTGGGCCCCGCTCGGTACCGTCGCAGCTTAGTCCGTCTGGCTCTGGCCCTCTCCCGCAGAGGAGAGACTGAACCCCTCATGCCCTGCTCCTTTCTGTGGCTTTCCGGGTGCAGATCTCCAAGCACACTGCGGGCCTAAGGTTCGCAAAAGGGGGTGGGTGGGAAAATGGGGAAGCCGAGGCCCAGAGGAGCTAAGCGACTTGCAGGGGGTCATTGATTGCACTGGGAGTAGAATCCAGACCTGAATTTGGAGTCCTCTGCTTTCGACAGAAAGTAAAGCTGCGGTCCCAGTCCATATTCGGAGAGAGCAACACGGCCTGGCGTAGGGCCGGTACCTGGGCTCTCCTGAATTCTGAGTCTGCTCTGCTCCCTGGATGGCTGGGGGGTCTGTCCCTTCTCCTCTTGGCCTTGTTTTCCCCACCTGTAAAATGGGGGGGGGGTGCTCCCTGGCACCAGGTGGCGGGCTTTCATGTGCCCGGGTTTGTGCAGTGCTGTGTCTGCAGCTGACTCATAGGTCGCCAACTTCCCAGAAGAGCTGCAAAAACAAACAAACCATTTCTTCTAATTGGCCCAGCTCCACAGGGACACATCCTCCGCGTGCCCCACCTTTACCCAACCGAGGGCTGCCCTGGGAGCTAATTTGCATCTGGTTTGCATAAAATTTACATAAACCAATTCACACTCCCCTACTCTTTGTCTGAGTGTGTGTCTGCCTTGGTGGATGAATAGATTATTGCTTGGGGGTGAGATTCCTCGGCAGCTCACCTGAGCAGTGTCGTCCTCCCCCTCTCGTATGGGCGCAGGGTCTTGGAGCATCCCAGCCCCCAGGTGTGTTATTTCTGCCCTGTGGGGTGATTCCAGTGCCTGGCGAGTGAATAGGCTGCTGGGTTTCCAGGGCAGCCCCTCCCCGACCTACCCATGTCTGGCGAGCGGCGATGGAACCTTGCTGGAGACTGTAGCCTGGCTCCTTCTCAGCTGCTTGTTAGCTCTGATGCCGCCTGTTCTTCCTCCATGTCTTAGGTGCTGCCTGAGAAATGCCGCTACCTTGCAGGCTGCATCCTGAGCGAGGGTGATGAGAAGCCCTCGGAGGACCTGGTCCGGTACTTCAGGAAGTACGGCTTCAAGATCATTTCCTTCCCGGCACCCAGCCATGTGGTCATGGCCACCTTCCCCTTCACCACCCCCTTCTCCATCCAGCTGGCGGTGAACCGGGTCCACCCGGCCCTCGACACCTACATCAAGGTGAGTGGCCATGCCGTGCCGAATGCGTCAGTTTCATGGCACCCCAGCCAACGCCCTCGCCTGCCATTGGCTGTTGTGGCTGCCATGCGTTATCGCCTGGCCGCTTCCTCCTATTTGGTCACGTGGCCTCTGAGCCTGGTCTGCCATTGGCTGTTATGGATGCAGCAGGTAATTTACCCATAATGACGTCCTCCCATGCGGCCACGTGGCCTGACGTCCTTTCTTCTCTCCGGTCAGACACATTGATTAGTGGGTTTCCTGCTAAAAGCAGGTGTCTGTAGGTAAGTGGTGGTGCCAGACCTGTGTGTGCACCTCTCTATTTCAATTCTCTCTCTTCAGGTAGTTTGGGCTTTGAGGAGTGTGGCTCAGAGCGTCCTAGAATTATTGCTCCAGCCTGGGGGTGCCCTGGCTCTGGCCGGGCTCTATACGCCAATTATGCCCAGAATGAGGCTGGTGGAATTATTTGCATTTTAGCTCCTCCTTTCTCTGGAAGGTGGGTGTCACTATGGAGGGCAGCTCCATTAGTGACTGTACGCCAGGATGGGGGAGATGCAACTCTATGTTCCAGGTGTCCTGAGCCTCTGACTGTTAGAAGCTGAGCAGGGGTGATGGGGTGGACCACTCAGCAATTGCCTGTTCTGTTCAGTCCCTGCTGTCGGCAGACAGGGTACCGGGTTAGCTGGACCGTTGGTCTGACCCAATCTGGCTGGTCCTCTGCTCTTATTCAGCTCTCCTGGGTTAGACTGGTGATACGGGATGTGCGTGTAACCCTTTAACCCAGGTCGTCTGCTCCATTCCATTTGCTTTCATGTGTTCTTGCCAAGCTGCATTGCCCAGCCATGCCACCGAAAGCCCTCAGCTGCCGCCGCCGCCGCCGCCTCCGCCCCAGGTGACGACCTCCTCCTGTACAGTCTCCTGTAGCTGTCAGCTGGAGACCCTTCCCCTCTCTGCATATGCCCGGGCTGTTCCTGGCAGATTCCATCGCAGGCTGCTCTGGGCTGCAGCCCCCCCCGTCCAGGGAGCAGAGGTTCCTGTCACCCGTCTGGGACGGGGGAGCGGCGCCGAGTGGATCTTGGCCCTGGGAGAGGGATCTTGCACCTGGCAAAGAAAACGTGTCCGGAAGTGGACCTTTGCGGGCTAGGCCGAGACCCGAGCGCAGGCCCCTGGGGCTCTGACCCTGCAGGGAGAGAACGTTCAGGCGTTTTCATCTCGAAATGTTGCGGCGAGGGGGTCGCCTGTGGCTAGGGACGGGGGAGCGGCGCCGAGTGGATCTTGGCCCTGGGAGAGGGATCTTGCACCTGGCAAAGAAAACGTGTCCGGAAGTGGACCTTTGCGGGCTAGGCCGAGACCCGAGCGCAGGCCCCTGGGGCTCTGACCCTGCAGGGAGAGAACGTTCAGGCGTTTTCATCTCGAAATGTTGCGGCGAGGGGGTCGCCTGTGGCTAGGAAGCCCCAGCCCGGAGCTCTGGGGCTGCGACGCGGGCCTGATTTGCAGCACCCCTCCGCTTCCGTTCCTGCTGCCATCCCCCATGTGTGCCAGGGCACCTTGGCTTCGACTTGCAGCCCCTCCGGCAAGTCCAGTCCTCTCCTGCCCCGATCTGCTAATGCCTCTCAACTGTGACCTGCAGCCCTCCTGATTTCAGGCCTGGGTCTTGGGACACACAGGGGAATGGTAAGACCCTGGAGGTAGATGCAGGGCTATTCTGCTGACTCCCGCTGGCTGCTAGACCTGTTGGGCCTTCAGAAGTCCTGTCAAAGCTGGGAGGGGGTACAACTCACCATGCCAGTGCCTCCTGGAGGCTGTCATGGGGATTAGCTCATCTCACCAGGGCGCCCTCTTCTGGGGGTATCTTGCTGTCATCCCTTCGGCTCTGGAACCCATTTCACTCCCAAGACCGTGGCATCCTCTCCAGTGACCCAGCCCTCCGGCCATTCCCCCATCCTGGGGACTCCGCAATGTCTGTCCAGCCATGTCCCTCAGTGGCGACTGCAGTCCAGAGTTTCACCACTTCACCAGTGGCAATAGGTGCGGGGCGGGGGCCCTGCCTACTGCTCCGGGTCCTGGCCCAGAGACCCTGTATGTGGCCACCACTTGCAGCATCCCCTCCAGCTCCTTTGTAGAGCTCCGTGAACCACTTCCCCATAGTCTCAGCCCCTTCTTTGTCCTTGCCTCAGGAGGCTGAAGCTGAGAGCTTTCGGTGGGATGGCTGTCCTTTAGTTCCACAATCTCAGCCCACAGCGCTGCTCTGGCCAGAGTATTGGCTGCCTTCGGCCTGTAGGACACCCAGTGCTCCCTCCTCAAGCTCCAGGGAGTGACTGAAGCTGCTTTGCTCTGCAGTGCTTCTTATGTGGGCCAGGAGGGCCCCGATCAGCTGCTCCTCATAGACCTTTCCTGATTGGCTGTCTCCTGTGCAGCCTCCCTAGGGCTCGAGCCCATCTTGGGGCAGGCACCCCACACAAAGGTGTATAAAAGGGGGGAGTGTTTGGAGAGAGATGTGGGGTCTGCAGTGGTAGCGGCCCCACCCAGAAGCCCCCAGGACTCCCCAAGCTGGGGGAGAAACTTAGGCTGAGTGTTGTTTTGTTGCATAACACAACAATGGAGGCACGCCCCAGGAGGCCTCATTCCCAGTGCGTGCCTATTGAATCAGCGCAGCGTGGGGACTCGGCTGGCATACGGGCCCCCTCTGGAGCAGCAGTGGTCCGTCGTGGCTCGTTACATTGGTGGCTTCGTGATGTGGACAGATGGAGATGCCCAGGAAAGCCCCAGTCTCCGGCCCCAGGGTTTGGAGCTGGCTCTGAAGGGAGGCGCACGTGTGGTGCCCGCCCATCCAACGCCAACATTTCCATCCGTTCATATGGAAGCAGCTATTTATAACCTCCCGTGCCTGGCGCGGATCCCAGCCCAGTGGGACCAGAAATATCTTCCTCCTCCGCCGTGCTGCTGGAGTCCTCCATTGGGCCCCGGGGGCCAGCCTCTTCTGTGCTTGAGCAGGTCCCGAGGGAAGCCAGCGGCGGGCGGGGGCACAGTGCAGGCCCAGAAGGATGGGTTCTGGGTTATGGCAGAGGATCTGGAGATCCGGGCCGTTCCCAGGTCTGTGCCCTCTTCCTCCCCTCGCAGCTTGGCCCTCGGCTGTGCAGAGCGGGGGAGGAGGTGGGTCGCTTGGTGCATGTGGTTCGTGCCATGAGGCGGTTCCCCTGGGTGAGTCTGCCAGCCCGAGGGCAGGTTGTCGGGATGACAGAGGGCGGGGGGGCTGGGAGAGCATCAGGTTTGTGACCGCAGTGCTCGGTGGTGCAGAGCTGACGCTGCCTTGCTCCAGGAAAGGTCCTGGAGAGCGCATCTGTCACCCGAGAGATGAAATCATTAGAGCTAAAAAGAGCCGCAGATTGTGCTGGGAACACCTGGCAGCTTTTTAATGAGAGCTGCCTTTCTGTTAAAAGAAGCCCCGACATCTAGGGATCTCGGGTGTTCAAAGCGAATGGAGAACAGGCGCTCGTCCGCCGCTAGACGGTCGCCTTTGAATCGGCAAGGCAGGGCTGGCTGCGCTCGAGCCAATGTGCCCCCGACTCACGTGGGCGCCTGGCTCCGCCGGAGCCCGGCCCCGGCAGGATCTGAAGTGGGGAGCACCAGTTAAGGTGGGCAGTGGGTCTCGGTCCTGGTCTGAGCCTGTCGGCGGTGGGAGTCGGTCAGTGCCTCTAAGGAGAACTGGGGAGGCCGGGCACGGCGGGGGTTGTCCTGGCAACAGGCCATGAGCCATTGGGCAGGAGCAAACCTGCTGCTTTCGGAGAATTTAAGACCAGCCTGAGCCTGTTCCACCCTGTTTGGCACTTTCGCTGCGTCCTGTCCAGGACAGCGATCCACTGGGAGCAGGACC